AATATTTGGGTTGAAGTGTTCTGGAACAGTGTTGTAAATACAACTTAACCACTGATTTCTAGTCATGTCCTCTTTTGGAAAGCCAAACAAAGTAGTTTTGCTTTCACAACGAAACACAGCATCACACGTGGTGGCGGCGGCCTAGAGTGAGCGGAGGCCGGCGGCTAGAGTGAGGAACGGTCGGCGGGCTGAGTGAGCAGAGGCCGGTGAGCTTGAGAACGGCGCAACCGGCGGGCTTGCGGCAACCACATGTGACGACCCCGGGCTGGACTCCACTTCATCCACGGTGAAAGCCGATCCGGCGATCCACAGCACGAAGTTGATGTATTTCCTCAGCGACCAGCACAGATCAGCTCTAGGCATGACGAAGCGGATATCGTCCTCTTTTGGAAGGCCAAACAAAGTAGTTTCGCTTTCACAACGAAACACACAGCACCTTCACGACATGGCGGCGGCAACAACAATACTACAGTGAGAATAAAAGTTACGCCTTCTTTCTTTGCGTGAACATTTGGGAGGCATTATGCAAATCTTCCCACATCGTGACGTAGACATGTGGGGGTGTGTTAGAACGAGCCGTTTCAGGAAGGCGTGGTTGACTCTTAACTTTTATAAAGAATATATCTTTGGATTTGAGACCTTAGTCTTTGCAACTTTACAGATCTTCTTTATGCACCAAGAGCTTGTAACACTTCAAAGAGAAAGGAAAAATTGAAATCGCATAATATGACCCCTTTAATCTTAAAAATGAATCTAAGTCAAACATCTAAATATAAATTTTAAAACTAAAAATTGTGAGTGTTAAATCTAAATATAATCTGAATCTTAAATTTAAAAATCTGAATTCAAATGGTAAATTTGAATCTTAAATCAAAATCATGTGTTAAAGATAAATCTTAAATGGAAGTAGAAATCTAAAATAATCTAAATCTTAAATATAAATAAAATCTTAATTAAAATTTTCAATCTCAATCTTAATTTTAAGTGTTAAAATCTAAATGTAAGATGTTAAATCTGAATCTTAAATCTACGTATACATTTATATGTCCTAAATCTAAATGATGTTGCTCGCTTGTAGAAAATGCACTTTTATTGATTATAACAAGAGCGTTCTCATTTTGCTGCATCGTGCCACTCATTTGCAGTATCACACTGTGACATTTCTGCACACACACACACACACACACACACACACACACAGGTTAGGGTGGGAGTAAGGTTCATCTCTAATATTTCAGTTTAACCTTGATAAATAAACCAACAAGACCTTTTCAATAATTAACAGCCCCTTACCACAAGTCTAATCCAGTGTGACAAACACACACACATACATACATGCACACTCTGATGCTCCAAAGTCGAAATATAAGCGAGTAGCTGTAGGATGGGCAAACAAAGCAATACATGTAAGTACACGGTAATACACTTTTAATTTTACCATTAACTCAGCGATTGCAGTGAGGCAAGCGCTCACACCACAATTGTGAATTATTGACTATGCGAGAATGTGCTTTGAAGAACATGATGGTAAAGAGGAGGTTTTGGAGAGGGATTCTAATGCAGTGGGTTTTTTTGAACGCTTTTTAGGGTAAAGTGCTCCCCTGGGAACTCAGTTAGTGCCCAGTTATCAAAGTTTTGACAAAAGAGCTCGGAGCGTTTGATACACTCTGATACACACTCAGCAGGGAGAAGATCTCAGCTTCAAACAGTGCAGATCACAGGGGAAACAAGCACCACCTAAAAGCATCACTCGCAGCCTCACACAACAGGACGGAACCACAAAAACCTACACTAATAAGCTGTGCTTTTATCCTATATTAAAACACATAAACAGTTTATATCCGTGACAGCGCAGACACAATATGTGGATATGGGAGTGTGTTTGCCATTGTTGGTCGGGCTGTTGTGTCTAGCTGCTCTTAAATGCCCTTGAGTCTCACAGGCCCATTACAGCCAATTAAGATCCACATAATCACAAGTGTGTGCAAAACCGCACAGCACCCAACGCTCTGTCTTTCTCTTTCTCATTACAGGCATATTGTAGAAATTAACAACTGCCAACTTAGGTTAATTAAAAGTGATTTCCCTAGGGAACAAACAGTAACACGCACACATATTCTGGATTTTATCGATGGATTCATCTATTGGTGGAGCAACTATGAGGTAAATTTGACAGGACAGAACCCCTGCGGCTGACGCATGGTATTATTGCACTTGGGTAATTAGCAAATATTCCCTAAACATGTTTGTCCATTCAAATCATTTTTATAGCAGAAATTATCACTTTATATGAAATCTTAATTTGTGGGCTTTAAACTCTATTTGTAATATTTAATATTATGAATCAGGGGTCTCATATTCATATTAAATGATGGCTTGTGCTATAAAAATCCTACAAAACTACAAGACAACATTAATACAGAGCACTGCACGTGACATTTGTTCCCATGACTTATTAATTTGTGGTAACTTTTTATTCATTTGTTTCATTTGTTCATTGTTAACTTATAAGTACTTTGTAGTAAGTAGTTCCCTCGTTTTAATTTTGTTAAATCATGGTAATGACTGACCTTAAATGAGTGAACAAATTAGTACAACATGGCCATGATTTTACTAAAATGAAGAAAACAAATTAGGCTGTGGGAACAAATTCTTATTACATGTTCATAATATCTTTTTTTGTGAAAAAATTATTTGTGGGTTGGATGAGTGAATAAATTATTCCTAACATTTAAGGAGGTCAGAAGATAACACAATATGTGGGACAGATTTAGCTTGTGGAGGCTGATAGTTTAAAAACAGTTATAATAGAATACAAAAAAAAAGTGAAAATTAAGATTACGAAACATGACCGGGCGTGAACCTGTGTTATCAACTTGAGCACCAAGGAATAATATGCCTGGAACATGTGTTGCTAACTTCTGCATAGCTAGATGCCAAAAAAATTGAGGGACCCAAAATAGGGAATTGATTACCACACATAAATGCTGTTGTCCAAAACTATACTCTTGGTTTTTTGGCATTGCTATACTGGTTAACACGCACTTACCTATGATGTAATAGTCTCGTAAGTTCTTGAATTCGTGACCCCACAGGTTGGGCGAATACTCCTGGAACTTGATGGTAAACCTCATATCGCTGTTGGGTTTGTCGCAGGTGAGCAAAAGGTTTGGGGTGCCCATCACCTCACACCTGTCAGCCTGCTCTCGTGAGGACACCAGGTAGAGTTTATAATACTCATACTCAGGGGGATAGTTCGGCCCAGATGGACTTGTGGCAGGACACACAAGGTCCAAACGATCCCCTATTTGAGGGTAGAGTATGTAGCCCCTTTCATCTCCAAACCTGTAGAATTAGAGAGAGAGAGAGAAAGATGAAGAGTGAGTGACAGACAAATGAGTAATGATCGTTTCCATGGAAACTGAGATTGACAGTTTGATATTTGCTTGCGTGTACGTGCATATGAAACCTCAAGGCCTGTTTGATGCTGAAACTGCCCTTTTGTTCAAACATTTTTTACTCAAAATGTAAACATACATGCCCTTTGGTTCAGGAGAGTGTGTGAGAGGGCATATGTGTGGTTTTGCTTGCCAATGTGATGAAAATAATCATATGTGGGGATCACGTTTTGCCAACAATAGTAAAACTTGAAATTGCTTAGATTGTGGGAGACAAGTCAACGGCAAACCTGTATGACTTTCCTCTGTGAAAAACAAAAGATGATATTTTTTAAATTTGTACTGGTCGCTCTTTTCTATGCTCAAACACGTGCACTTTATGTAGGGTTTTAGTGCTTTGTGTTTCTGCACTGATTTGTTGTTTGATGTTAATTTATGTTGTTATCCGTCTTGTGTTATAAATATTGTTTTTTTAATTTATATTGTTCTGCATTGCACCTTGGTCCTGGAGGAATGTTGCTTCGTTTCACGGCATACTGTACTGTATATGGTTAAAAATGCCAATAATAGCCTACTTGACTTTTGAATTATGATGAATGGAGACTATCAAGTTTCAAAAAGGACACAAAAAAGTATCATACAACTAATCCATACAACTTGTGCGCTCAATTCAAAGTCTTTTGAGGTCATACAACTGCTTTATGTGAGAAACTGAATGAAATTTCAAAGTCATTATTCACCCCTTCAGCAAGATGTTAACTGCTGTGTCCGGATCATTGAGTCAATAAAGTTGAACTTGACAACTCGATCATTTTCATTCCTGAATTATTCATTCAGACCAGGGGCTGGATTCAGGAAAATCTTCTTAAAGAGGTTAAGAAATTCATAAGAATGTTCCTACAGTAAGTGCAATTCTTAACAAATTCTTATGAAGTTCTTAAATATGGTTCTTGCCAAAGACCTGCTGATCAACTCAATGTAAAACACCTCAAAGTCTGTCTTTTTGCAATGCTTGCCAATAAGCGCACACACTATTTTTGGCGCAACTGGCTTGACGGGAATTCAGTGGTCTGAAAATTAGCACAGAGGAAAGGAAAAAGCACATTCTGTGTGAATGGTCCCTCAAGAAAGGTTGTTTGCGGAGTAGAAGACATTCTTAATTTTATTCTTAAATTAGAAAGTAGAACGAAAATAGCGGTTAAGTATAATTTTATTCTTAAGAATATTTTGTGAATCCAACCCCTGGTTGGTTAAGCTGAATCAACCTGATTCATTTGAAAAGAACTCAAAAGAATGATGCTATTTCTTTCATGAACCTACCAAAGACAGTAATGGAGAATGTTTATGGCATATTTTTGTTATTGTGGAGCTTGGCAACCTCAGTCCTCATTATTTATTTTTTTATATCATATAATATACTTTAGTTTCCCACAGAATAATGTCCGTCATATGGTTCTGAAACACAATGCTAATTTTTTTGTGAATGGTTCCTTTGAAAAATATTAAATAATGTCTTAATGAAAAACTAATAATGCAGTAAGGTTTCTGTGAGGGATAATAAAATAAAAAATAAAACGCTATAAAAACAAGTAATAGAAAGAGTCTATCAGTGGAGACCTTGAGAAAAACAAAAAAGCGTGTATGTGACGAGAGCATTTCCAAATATATGAACACTTTCATAAAAACAAACAATTATTCAGTATTTTATAGCACATTCTCAGTCAAACCAAGGCCAAAGCTGAAACAGCACTTAAAAGCTCCTATACCTCCATCCTCTTGTGGAAAGAAAATTCTGGCATTTAGCAGACTGACATTTTAGCTCTATTCAGAGTCTTGTTCTGAAGTTGAAAATTCACCTCACAAATAACCCCACTGCAGATAAAAGTATTTTGCAGACTCATCTCTCCTCATGCTAAGTGTACAAATCTTGACATTTCCATTAGGCCAAGACATCCAAGCAAAACTCCAATTAACCACACCGCAGTTTGTAAGACACCTTTGCACAGACAGATAGATAAAAAAAGCTTCCTAGTCAGGAAAAAAAAAATTTAAATCATGTGAGAGCAAAAGCACCTGATCTGTGGATCAACACATATCCATTAACACACTGAGTTTAGGCCTCAATCAGCTGTCTGCCGCACCAAACACACGTGACCAAAACACAACAAACGTCAATGTGATCTTAGCCTTTTCATTAGCTACTAACATGTGGGATCCGACTGAGAGCAAATATCGTAATCTGATAATCAGACGCTTTCATTTATCAAACGGAAACTCACTCATCTCTGTTTGGTGAAAAACACACACTAGGCCTTCTGTGTTTACATTGTGCTGCTCATCGAACCAAGCAATTTACCAGAGGCTGTGAATTATGACCACACACACACTCTCTGACCATATAAGATGAACTGGGTTCATCAGACTGTCTGTATGTTTAATTCTTTCCAGAGACTTGTTTAATCCTTTTGTCTCCGATATATTTACCCAATTGTGTCTGATCGAAGACACAGGAGGGCAATCTGGCATTCTTTACCGGTTAAACCACGTTATGCTTGGTTAGTGAACTCACCCCACACTGTTTAGATAAAGGTTAGAGGTGGTCGACCTGATTACATGCTGAGGCGTTGCGGGTTTCTGTGCTGGTTTGATGCTTCTTATTGGTGGGCTTGAATCCCACGGCTCCTTTCCACTTGCACTGCAGAACTGGAGTGACTTTGGGCCGCCCTTGAGTTTCTAAGGCCGTCGGAAGCTTTGAATCCAGACTCTGTTTTTCCCCTTTCACTCATCAACAAACCTTCACATCACTCACACCAACACAACATCTTCCCATGAGCTCACGCTGGGCTGTCCAAAGTGTGTTTTCAGCAAGATAATGCGACAAAATAAGAAGGAGATGAAAATCATAATTCCAAATTTATGTATTATCTTTTTAGTGTATTGTGTTGTTTGACAAAAGCAGACTAGTACATTCTCTGTACATAATGAAAAACATTAGATATGCAAAGACAAAAAAAATTTGGCCTATAACCGATAAATGGTTGATAATAACGTTTTATACTATTTTGTTTAAATTAAAAATGAAGAAATCTAAAAATGCTTCAAGTGAATTTAGGCAGCATTATGTTGTACGGAATGAAAATGCATATTAATTTTGAGAATTGCTAAAAAGATTTAATAATTAAATTATTAGTGCTTTTAAATATTAATTTTAAGTGAACAGAGGATGACAACAGTAATCTAAATGTAAAAAAGGGAAATGTGCAAGAACAAATATAAACTGAAAATGAATAAATTAAAAATCTCTAATACTGGCTAACCTACATGGTAACACCATGTTGTGCATCCCTAATAAATATTATATACTGCAGAATGTTTTATTTGTGTATTATTTTATACCATTTTAGTAGGACACAACATGGAAACGAATTTTCCTTGCTGTTGCACAAATAAATACAAAATTCAGTTCAATGAATTATAAAGACATACAAAACTGCAAAAATGGAGCATTCTGAAACTGACACTGTATTAAGTTTGACAACCATGAGCACATAGCCACTTGCATGCACAAATAAACAAGTGCAGTCAATTTAACAAGTTAGTGTGATTTAATCATGTATTAATCATATCCATAAGAAATTCAAGCTTGAAGGAGCCGTTCACACAGGTTCTTTCATTCAAATTCAGGGATCTCTAGACACATTTTTCAAAATTTAAGTACGTTTTACTTGACACGCCTTCTAAAAAAAGCTCATGATGCCTCAAATCTCTGACTCTCATTGTAAATGAATGATTTCTGGCTGCTGCAAACTGCTGTCAGTGTTAAAAAGAGTCAGAGAGAGTGTAGAAAATGGTTTGTTGTTGCACTATATGTAGTCAAAGTGTAATGGCACATTTAATTTCACAACAGAGGACAATGGCACATTTAGTCTTACTTGTGTTTTCTTGAAGCTCAAGCAAATGGATACGTTAACCTCAAATCCTGCCACCCTGCAGATCCCAACTGTTTTCCTTCAGTCCAAACGGAAGACATTTCTATCAGAGAGCTGTCAGACCCCTGCTGAGAGATACGAAGCATGGCGACCGCTACCAAGACCACCCCAGAATAACAAAGGACAAGAATCAAATCTCAGCATAATGCAATTTACCGATAGAAGCAAACGTAACAGGCTGCATCTGTTTCTGACTACACTACACTGATTTTTCAAAGGCTTTTTAACATGTCAAAATTTCTCTGATGTGATCACCAGTTGACGGGCTGAATGCATTTCTCTTCCCTCCGCAGGAAAAAAAACCAGCTTTGCTTGTTGAAAGAACTGACAGTCTTTGTCTGTTAGTGGTTCAAGCGAAAGCGCAAATATTTTGTGTTCTTTGCATTGGTTATCAGTGACAATGCTAAATTTCCTCTCGGTTTGGTGTTGGTGGATTTTACAAACATATTTATTAATGTAAAAGGTGATTTTTGGTTTAAATTAGAGACAAATCAAACCTCCTTTTGCACTGAAGTAAACAGACAATCAAAGTGATAAATGCCTATATGTATTCGAAATGCTCTTTCTGTGAGCTCCATGAACTCTGATTTTAATACACCGCCATCTGAAACTGATCTTTTTATGTATGAAATATGCATGAAAATGCCAATGTTTATCTTCATATACGTAGAAATTTAAGACAGGCAGAAAAAGCATTCTAACATGGGAAATATAGCTCTGCAACCTAGACACAAACCCCCACAAATCAGTGATTAAGCATTTTAAATGTAAATGTCACAGAACAGGATCAGAATTCACAAGGTTCATATTCATTATCGTTTCAGCACTGCAGAATATTGGGTATTTTAAGTTTCCTCATGCCACACTAAAGCAACAAAAGGCTGATGGAGCTGAAACTCAAACAAACTTAAACCACCAATTACCCTTCACCTCACTGCAGCAATGTGGAAAATGACCT